TATTATAGCCATATACATATAAAATAGATCTAATTTTTAATTTTTAACACTATCATATTTTTCTGATAATACATATTCTACCTTTAATATTATAGTCTTTTTAAATGCAGTCATTGCCTTTTATAGCAGGCCCAGGATCTGACTATTATCTCTCTGAATTTTATATTCTTGCTTTTCATTTTGCTATTGAGGGCATGATCGTTATTCTTTCACATAGGTATATGCAAGAAAAGAAAGGTCCAACAGACTTCCCAGGTTTTAAACTACCAGGCTTCACTATGTGAATGATATGAATATATCCATCTCACTCTTTGTTCTTATACTTCTTTAGTAGTCATACAAAAAATTTTGTTTCTGTTATAGAATCAATAAGGCCTCTGACTTTTTTTATACTTATAAAAATACCACTATAGAGAGCATAATTGTCAGATTATAATTGTTTACATAGCGAGAAGAGAAAAACCTAATAAGCTTTCCGCAGTTTAGTCCACTGAGCTACAGAATAAGAAATAGTTTGAAAGTATTCATCTCAAAATTTTTATAAATACAAAACCTACTATCATTTACAATTTAATCTAAAAATTTTATATTGAAGTGTTTGATATATACAAAGATGAATCGGGTAAATAATACGTTTTTTTTCTTGCACGAAATTATATTGCGTTGATAGATCGACTACTCAGATTACTTGTTATGAGTATATATAGTTATGTAAAAAATTTTGCTTGAGTCTTCACCTCTTGATGATAGGGCCTCTGACTTAGTATATTATGTATTCAAAAAGGTATAATCATTATTGCTAGTGGCTCAGTACTTTGGCTTGGGTGGTTTTTCAGTTCACAACAAAATATTAATGTAAAAAAATATATATTACTTAATTGTGATAGCATTAGGAAAAATGGTGGACAACTATTGCTAATAAATTTATGCTATTATTTAATCGAAGGATATTAAGTCTATCTCCTTCGCACAGAATTAAAATATGCATTAGCAACATAGTCCAAACTAGTCCTGCTAGAAATGGTAAGTATATTTGATTGATTACTTCAAAGATTTTTAATCTTGGGTGCATTTACACTATGTTTACATGAGTATCTTGAGAGACCGCCAATTAATACAAAAGGCTTTGGTGGTAATGGCAGAAGAGTCAATAAATATGGCTCATTAATCAAACTAGGCATAAAGCTTTTGATTTTCATAGACTTGATTGGCACAATATTTTGGATAACCTGTGTGCTTCTATCTTGCATTTTAGTTTTGGAGTATTCATTATCCCAATGATTTTGTATCAAGTCCTTTGATTTAATCTCATAACTCCATCTATGCCATCTATCTCAATATATCTTTTTTGGCTCTACTTTAGTAATTTTTACCAATTGCTAGCATTTAAAGCATAGCTATTTGACTTTTATGAACTTTAGGTCTTCGATAGCTGATATGCTCTATTTTTGACCTGTAATTTTCAAGATACATCCTAATATTTCCCTGTCCAAATAAACCAAAAAGGCAGTATATATGAAAAATACTAGGCCTTTCTCTAGAACATAATTCTTGCAAATCATCTTTTATATGAATAGCCCATTGTTGAAGTGTTTTATGGAGTCTAATAATAGCTAAATGGTCATATTTTTTTTCTAGTTTGTATATATTTTCAACATGATTATAGTTATAACTATTACCTTTTGCTAAATCCTTTATTACATAACCCAAATCATATTCTGGATGAAGGTTAACAGGTTTGGATACAGATTTATTATAAATCTCATCAATAATGATTGTATTAATCATATTTATTAACAAATTAGTTTTTTGTCGATTTATAGTGTTTTTAGCAATTTATAGCGATTCTTTAACAATCTATATTAAGGAATATCTCAATTCAAATTTATAGTATAAATATACACTTCATAGATTTTTATTTCTTTCTTACATATATTGCAAGTAAATACTAATGTATAAATTATATTTCCCAATTGTGATTTTAAAAATAGCATTAGGAAAACGGTGGAGTTGTTATTGAAATTATAAATTAGCTAGATTGCTTTTTTCCTTGCACTTTTGCCTTGCATCTTTCTCTTTTTGTAGGTTTAATGGTGTGTCAAACCTTAGTCGAATAGCAAGAAGATCATCCTCCAGCCTACTGAGATTAAATACAACAAACTCACCTTTACGGAGGTAGCTATTAATAACCATGGATGCATCCTTTACATTATCAGTATATCATCTAACAATTTTGAAGATATCGTGAGCGCTACTACCGCCATTAAATATCACTAAATGGGAGACATTTTCTCGAATAATAATAGGAACTTTATGATAATATTGTGTTACATAAATAGGTAAAATGTTCCTGTGACACCCGTGAGTAAAGAAAGGGATAATTTGATTTTGTATATACTCTGAGGCAACACACAAATCCTCAAAAATAATAACAGTGCTTCTTTCTGATGAGAATAATTTCATGTTTGGAATCCTTTTAGAAAGAATATAGCTAAACCGAATATTCTCATAATATGGTGCTCTTGGATCTTTTGAAATTACACTATACATATATCTTACAAATGCCCATTTTGGTTTGTCAAGATGGTAACCACATACTATCAAATCATCACATCTAATATATCTTATTCCCTCTTTTCATCCTTTGTATATATGCTCACTCTTATCCTCTAAGAACAAATTTGCTAGTAAATTGGTCTTACCTGTACCACTTCTTCCGCTGACTATCTTGCTGAAAGGCCATATCATTGCTAGATATCCAACATTTCTGGATGATTCATACTTTGTGGCCTCATCTATATCCATAAGGTAAAGTTTCATAGAGGGCAGTCCAGTTGTCTTTTGGTTCTTTTGCATAATAGTTCAGGAAACTATAACTTTGTTTTCTATAAATTGGATAAAAAATTTCTTTCTTTTTGATTGAGCGATGAATTTACATATATATATACTATATAATTAATATTACTACTAAGACTAAAATAACAAGTGGAATTATATACTGATCATTAAGTAAAGCATTGCTGACCCCTAATGTAACAATAGATAAGGCTTGAATATTATTGAGTTTTTCTTTTTGCTTATTGCAGGCATGGTCTATAGGGGCTCCACCACATCTTTTACTTTGCTTTCATCAAGTTCAAGCTCTGAGTGGTATGAAGAAAAAGAGGGGGTGCCTCCAATCACTTTATTAGTCTCACTAGATGCTTTTGAAACCTGCTCTGCTAAATAGATATTAGTCTCTTGAAGGAGGGACTTAGCCGAGTCTGGATCCTCTTTAGCTCTACCTATTATGTCCGATTCGTAAGATAACTGAGATATTTGTTGTTCTAACTGATCTTCCAATTCTCTCACCCTAGATCTGAGACAGCTAATTAACCTATAACTACATAATACTTTTCCTGCTACTTTCTCTAGTTTGTTTACTTTAGTTCCAAAAGAGGTGATTTCAGAATCCTTACACCCCATCTCAGCTTCCAATTCATGTTTCTTTGAATTTAAATCATTTCTTTCTCGCTCTAATATATGATTAAAGGAGTTTAATTTACTTATTTTATCCCTAAAAGAAGTGGTATCTGAATCATGAGATGTGCATTCTAGTTCTATCTCAGATTTCAATTCATTTACTTCAGCTTTCAGTTCATCTATTTCACCTTTAAGATAAAGAATCTCACCCTTGTCAAGGGATGAGGCTTTTTGGGTGAGTGTTACTTTTCTCTTTAGTGTTTTAATTTCAGATTTGAGCGATTAGATTTTAGCAGAATAATTGGCTCACTCTGCTTTATGCTCAGTATAGGATGACTGTTCAGAAGATCTAAGCCTAGTATTGGACACATTTAGCTAGCTAATCCTTTTTCTAGCATCAGCTTGAATTAGCTCAAGATTCTTTTTTTGCTTTAAATATACATCCTGCAGGTCGTTATATTCATTAGCAATATCAGAAGCAGTTTTGATACTACTATGCAATGCTTTCTCAAGCTCTGATTCACAGATGCTACCAAGCCAATAACTTGGCTCCTCCAGGACCCTTCTATTCTCGATATCTCTTAAGATATACACATTGGACATAGTTTTTTTTTGGCTTAGTCATTAGTATATAAAAAAAATTATAAGCAAAATTCTTTATTAAAACAGCTAAAAATAAATTAAATAGCAGATAACTAATATTAATAATACCTATAAATTACAAACTACCAATTATCATATATATAGTAGAACTATAACTAGATATTTAAGATCTGATGCATCTTTGTTTTCTCCTGAGGATTATTCTTATATTATATAGTGTTGTAATATAAAACTGAGATATAAAATTTTAAATGAGTTAATGAGTAAGTATAAAATATCATCAAAGTGTATTTATCAAATATAAAAAGGATAGGAACATCCTATTGACCCTACACAAAATACATTTTCTTCGAATCAGATACAAATAACTAAAAATTCAACAGTAAGAAAAAAGAATCTTATAACTAAAACCCTTATTGATTTAAGTACTGATTTGCTAATAGATAATACAGTACTTAATAAAGATGAGAAATTATTTGATACAATATCTCTATATTCTCAGATTAAATCTTACAATATCTAACTTTCTATTGAATCGTGATATGATAAGTTTTTATTGCATTGCTTGTGATTATACCAATCAAATTTTAACTGAAGATATTAATCAAATACTAATTAAAAAGAATAGCAAACTGAATAAGAATTAGATATTAACCGATATATCTAAATCGAATTTTTACTGAAATAGAATTAGATGTTAACCGAATGGTTCAGAAACACTGAAATAGGATTAGATATTAACCGAATGGTTCAGAAACACCGAACAGAGATTGAATATATATCAAAACACTATTGATTTTTGAATTATTTTTTGCAAGCTTAAAAAAAATATATATAGTAACCAATATTTTTAAGAATCTATTAACTATAAGTGGCTTCGAGCAAGTATTGCGAGAAGGCAAGAATTCAGAAAAAAAAGTTTGATATCTGCAATCTGATGCAACTCCTTTATTTGATAATAATATACAAGATATCATTAATGCTAGAAATTTGATGAAATATGCTATAGCAAGCAAATACAAAATATCAACAAGGTGTGTATATCAAATATGGAGAGGGAATTATCCACTAATAGATTTTAGAGAAGAGATATTGCGATCAGCTACTACTATAGCTAGCTTAAGTGAAGATTCCAATCATGATGCTAATAAATTCGATTCTGCCTTCACAATACTGAAAAACAAAATACATGATACTAAAATTAGCAAATCTACTGATTCAGCTTCAGAAGAGAATGTTGTTTTAGATAGTAAGGTGAAAAAGACTGAAGGAAGAAAATCGAGAACCAAAACTGTTTACGTTTCCGATTCTATTTCATCTATCGAATCTTTTGAAGATGTCTTGGATTTGTATAAGAGAACTAGTTCTGAAATAGAGAAAATTAGAGTATCTGGTCGTGCTCTTGTTTTTAAATAATTATTCAACCTTATTTGGTTCTAGAGAAATCTTTTCATATCAGTCAAGCAAATTATTATAGTATCCTATGATTTCCAAATTCAATTGAATGCTAGAAAATAATACCTTTTCGAGCTCTTTCATATGAATTATCATATCTCCATAATCTATACAATTTACATACTTTTTTTTAAATCATCCTCACTAGTTAGGCTGGAGGAATTGGTGGATACTTGGGCTGAATCATGTGTGGAGGATTCCTGAGGGACTACCTTCTGCTTCTCTTTTGGCGGATCCTTAGCTACTGGGGCCTTACTATATGTTGGAATAACATAGGTCTTCTCATGTAACTTTATGCGAAACTAGTTTTTATTTGGCTCGGGAACACCTTGGAGCTTTCAAATATTTGACATATCTAAAAATAGCATTGGTTCTGGTTCGCCATTATTTATACATACAAAATTTCTAATAATTGTGACTGTCTCACCCTCTTTGTCCTTCATAGTAACTGGCATATCTGTGTACCATCCTAATGAATCGGTGATATGTCTAGAATTGTCTTTTATAGCAAAATCAGATGGCTTATCAGCCTTCCATCCAAGCGTCTTAATTGCCAGGTCATTTATACCACCAAATTCACTTCCCGGATCTAAAAAAGATTCAGAAATTGCTAAATCATTTATATTTACATTCAGATATTGTAGAGAAAAAAACCACTCATCTGATTCCTTTTCCTGAGCCTTTCAGAACAAGTACATTTTACGCATTGCCGGTGAAAGTTTTGGCAACAGCTCATCATACGTTTCGGGCTGGCTATATTCTGCTAGTATCTGTTTTTTTTTTCTAGTAGATAATACCCGGTCTATTTATTAATTTCTTTATTATAACCACAATTATTATCTTCCTCATTATTTGAAGCTGGAGGTGTGTATTGGGACTGTGTAGATGGAAGTTGGGGATAGTAACGTATAAAATTTGATTTAGCTACAGGTTTTTTGAATTGATTATCAAGCATCATCCTCCTGAACTGAGATGTCATTTGACCGATTTCATCTACTTTCAATTCTATTCTATCCATTCTTATAGATTGGTTTTGTTGAGAGCAAGGTCTTTGAAAAGGTTTTATAGGATAATCTGAATCTAATTCATTTTTAGTTATTAAACCTAATTTATTTAAGAATTTAGATATATAATAATTCTGGAGATCTTCTACCGATTGCAATGATGGTGGAGGACCTCTTGGCTGTCTAACTGGTTTGACAGTTTGTGGAGCTGGTGCTTGTGCTTTTTGAGCAACTGCTTGCTAAATCATTTGTGATTGGAAATCAGCTTTTTGCTTTTCTAATAAAAATTGGTATTTAGTTTTTTGCTATGCTAATGCTTCTTGAATCGCCTTTTGTATATTGTCTTTAGTAAAAGCTGGTTGAGAAGCTGAGGCAACTAGTGGTAAAAAATAGGATACTAGATTTATACTAGATAAGGCTTGCATTTGATTGGGAATTTAATTTAATTCCTCTGGGATCCTTCCACTCAAATTTTGTTTACGCTCTAGCCACATATTTTTTAGCTCGGTAAAAAATGCATTAATACCTGCTGGATTAGCTATTCTCATCCAAGTGTAGAAATCACCCGTTAAGTGGCTTTTAAGAAATCCTATAACTTGCACGTCGTTGTTTGCCACTTCTAATAATAGTGGCTGAACTTTAGCTTTATAAGTATCTGGAGTATCATAAGGTTGGTATTTTTTTTGAGTCAATCTTTGTATAGCCGATTGCTGATTTCTAACTGTCTCCCTTTGATATTTTGCTCTTAACCAACCTCGTAATATATCTGGAGTATTTATAGCTGGATTTTCTATTACAAGACCATTATTTGCTGATACTGGAGCGTATTTTCTGCCCATCGTAGATTTTAAAATATTACACTTGACTACATCATTAAAATCTCCTGTATTTGCATTTTCAAGAACTGTCATATGCTCTTCAAGATATGCCCATGACTGAATAACCTTATTCAAGTATTCATCAGGTGGTTCTTGATCTATGTAGGGGTAAAATTTTGCAAGAGCGAGAGCCATTAATTTTAATACTGGTAAACGTCTAGCCTCAGCCATATTTATTTGATTAGGTAGATTATTCTGTAGTGCAAAAATTTGTTGATTTAAAATTAAAATATTCTGGTGCTCTGCATGAGTCTTATTTTTCTACTTCTTATATCGTTCATATAACCTATCTTGATTATATTCTAGCAAACCTTTATCGGCTTTATATCATTGTAGGTGGAGGATATTTCGATGATACAATAACTGAAAAACAAAATTTTCACATAGCAATTCACCAATATGAGTTTGCTTCTTGCTATATTATCTCTTAATATGTAAACCAACGCAGGCAAATTTGCCTGTGTTTTTGCACTTTTTTAGATCTGATTTACTTTTTTAAAATGCTAAAATATTTAGATAAAACTTTGCACAATTATATTTGAAAATAAGGATTACTTTTTTGCAAAATTAGTTTTTATAATATAAGAAAAAGTTTAGATTGCTTATAAGCTAAAAATAGACAAGTTTAGAAAAATTTTGTAATCAAAAAAATTATTTACAAATTCTTGACGAACTCTTTAAATATTAATTTTAGACATATAGTTCTTAAAACAATATTTTAGTTTATACAAAGGATTACAATTTTCATTATTATACCTTTAGTGATTTACTAATAAAAATCAAAACTTTACTTAGA